GGAATTTCCAAGACTGCTTTCCCTCTTTCTAAGCATTAACAGGTTATCCACAAGCACACGCTATTTTCTAAAAAATATTCATTGTGCAATAAATGAATTCGACTAACTGATGCACTGCCACATGCACAGTATTTTAACACTGAACTCAGTCATATTAAGTAGACCTCAGTTTTACTTTGTGGTTTATATGAAATATCCCAAAACTGACACTAAGAAAAATGTTTTTTATTGTAGGACATGAGCTGGTTTGATAATCCTAAAAATAACACTGGAGCATTAACTACAAGACTTGCTAATGATGCCTCACAAGTAAAAGGAGTAAGTAAAATTTTCGTTTTAATTTTTTCATAGTTGATTTAGTATGTACTAAAGTTGCAGCTCAGGTTTGACTGATTGGGTAACAGTCTTGACTTTGACGGCTAAAATTTTCTGTAAAACTATAGCTAGTACAGAATGGTTTGTTATGTTTTATAACAATAATGGTAAGACGTTTACAAAATAATTTCCAAGTCAACATTTTTTTAAGTTTACTCTTGTGCTGTATTGTGATCTTCATTATTATACAAATTCTCCCACTATTTTTTTGATCATACGGATTCCCTATATGAAAAAGATCAGACATAGTAGCAATAGACTTCCTTTTCCGTGTTACATTTTGGAGATTCTCGAGAACTAATTTGTGGACTTTCAGGTGTCTGTAATATTAGGCTAAAGAGCACTGAGTGTATGCTTAAGTAAATTTTTACTGTGACATTCTGTGCTTTTTTCTTTTCTGAATTGAGGAGTTTTGTAGTATCGGTGGCTTTATTTCCACAGTAGAAGTTAAACTTTTACTGTTCTTCTTCATTAAACTCTGTGTGATGACTTATAAATCTAGCTGTATTGTCCACAAAATGTGACAGATTTTAATGTTAGCTGTCAATGTAAATACGTGATATGGTTGAAGACACTTCAGCTCCAAAACCAGAATTTAGAAACTGCGGTGCAAATTTAAGTAATCAGAATATAGGGAGAGAAGAATTAAATGTGATCTAGATAATTTTTTACAAAATCATCTAACAAATTCCCATTCTGAAAAATAGCAAAAACTGAGTTAAGACTAAATAGTGTTTTGAGAATCAGGAGTATTGTAGGTAAAAATGTTTTCCTTGTTTAAGATACAGTTACTTCAGCAAGAAATGTCTTTTTTCTTCCTCCAGGCAACTGGTGTCAGGCTGGCATTAATTACTCAAAATGTAGCTAACCTGGGAACTGGAATTATTATATCATTAGTTTATGGCTGGCAGCTGACTCTGCTACTTTTAGCAGTTGTGCCAATCATTGCAGTGGCAGGAATGATTGAAATGAAGATGTTGGCTGGGCATGCTAAAAAAGATAAAAAAGAGCTGGAAGTTGCAGGAAAGGTGGGTCTAGAGAATTTTATCTATTTCTGTGTAATGTATACAGTCATGTTTACCAAAGCATCATTGATGGATGTGTTACTTTTTAATACAAAACATATCATAATATATAATTTACAGAGACAGATAGGCTCTATGTAATTACACTAGTAGACGTACACAGCATAATACCGTCAATATTTTTCACTAATAATTGAAGGCTTATGTTATTAAACATGTCTCAGACCAGGACACCACTATTTACTTTTGTAATTGTTAAACCCAGAATGTGCAAAGCGGTATTTAGGCACACTCTTCTCTCCTTTCTGTTCTGATCATCTCTATTTTCCTTATTTTCCGAGCTCCTTCATTTTGACATTCTCTTTTTTCGTTATATCTTTTTGGCATATCGACTGTCTGACATATATTACACTGCTTTATCTTTTTTTTTTCTTTCCTCTTATTCATGTTTGCAGGGATAATATGTATATATCCACTGGTTTCTGAATCTATTTGCTATTGCTTTATTTTTGAGTGGAAGAGAAAGATGAGTACAGAAAAGTAAGAAGGATAGACTTGTTTAAGAAATTAGGTGAAGGCATTTAATGTCACATCATTCCAAAAATTCTTTTGGGACAGAACAACTATTTCATCAGTTCCCAGATACTGCTTTCTTCAAGGTAAAACTTTTCTAAAATGCCTTCCTATATTCTACTGTTTTTAGTAGTTGTTGCAAAGAAAATCACTTACCTAAGGCCATGCACAGAAAGAATGGTATTAAGAATGGTATTAAACTTCAGATTCAGTGTTTATACGTAGATATCTGCATATATGTTAGCAGTCTAATGTCCTCTGTTTGGAGATGCCTTAGTGCCTGGTTAGCCTCCTGCTGCCATTTCTGAAGGATATGGGTCTACTGAGTTCTATGTTGTATCTGCTGCGCCTTACCCAAATTTTGAGTATCCTAGAGTATCTGCCATGGCACAAGCCATCTGCAGCTGAATTAGAGTCTTTCCCGTTCTAGTGAACAATCCTGGAAAAAGAGACTAGGAAGGCACAAAGTGCGTAGGCAGCTGAATTGCTTTGAAGTTCTGTTGAATAGGTATCCATTGACTACATCAGTAGCTTAGACACCTAAGTTAAGATCTGGATCTGAGCCCCCTCCAGTAACTCCTGTTTGTTAAATGGATTTTATCTCATTCTGTCATGTCTGCAGACAGAGTTGATGAAAAACATTTTTGACCCTCCAAGATCACAGGAAATTGTGCTTAATGATCTTTCTATGTTTTTTTTTTTTTTTTTTTTTATACAAGCCCAAGGATGCATTTGCTTTCCTTTCAGCTGACTATATTTCTTCTGTTTCTTCTTTCTAATGTCTGAACCTTTATTTCATATTGTTTTGTTGTAAGATACGGGAGTAAAAAGTTGACAATTCTTGGAATAGGCACCAGAGACTTTTGTGAGTAGATTGTGAAGAATTAGTAAACATATTAAAAAAAAATTTTGACTTTTTGGCAAAGCTTGTGAAACTACTTCATTTTCTTAGTAATGTATGTTTCCCCTTTCAAGGCCACCTAAGCAAGCACTAAACTACAGGCATTTTATTCAATTGCCTTTAAAAAAAAAAAAAAATCAGTTTTCTTCATGAAAATGGCATTCTAACTGCAAAATTTGATTTCTGGAAAGGGTTGCTGAACTTACGTTACTAACAAAAAAAGACAACTACTCTTCTGAGTAGTTGAGTAGCAGTGAAGAACTTTTTCCTAATCTCCAGTCTGAACTTCCCCTGACACAGCCTTCAATTTCCTCATGTCCTGTCACTGGCCACCAGAGAGAGGGGATCAGCACCTCCCCCTCGCTGCCCCCCTTGGAGAAGCTGCAGACTGTGATGAGGTCACCCCACAGCCTTCCCTTCTCTAAGCTGAACAAACCAAGTGACCTCAGTTACTCCTCACAAGCCCTGCTCTCAAAACCTCTTATCTTTGTTGACCTCCTCAACACACACTCTGATATCTGATGTCCTTATATTGAGGTGTCCAAAACTGCACACAGCATTCAAGGTGGGGCCATCCAAGTGCAATGTAGAGTGGGACAATCATCTCCTTTGGCTAAGCCAGCTATGCTGTGTTTGATGCACACTGGGACAAGGTTGGCCCTTTTGGCTGCCAAGGCACACTGTCGACTCTCATTCAACTTGCCATTAAACTAAACCTCCAAGTCTCTTTCTGTGAGATAGCTCTCCAGCATCTCAGCCCCTAATTTGTGTGTATAACCAGGATTACCCCATCCTAGGTGCAGAATCTGACACTTGTTCTTGTTAAATTTCATGTGGTTGGTAACTGCCCAGCTCTGTAGTCTATCCAGATCTCTCTCTAAGGCCTCTCTATCCTCAAGATTGTCCACAGGTCCTCCTAATTTATTGTCATCGCCAAACTTAGTGTACATTTGACTCCTGCATCCACATTGTTTATAAAAATATTGAAGAACACCGGCCCTAAAATTGAGCCCTGTGGGACTCCGTTAGTGACTGGCTGCAATATAATTCCATTTACTATATGTCTTTGAGTCGAACCCATCAGCCAATGGTACACTCAGTGTATTATGGCCTTCTCTAGCTGTGTGCTGGACATTTTGTCTAGAAGGGTAGTATGAGAGAAAGTATCAAAAAACTTTGCTAAAATTAAAAAAAAAACCCAAACATGTATGGGCTTCCCTTGGTCAACCAGATGGGTGATCTTGTCATATCGAATATTCCCTGCTGAGATTGAAATTAGGCTCTAGGCTTGTAAGTAACCTGGACATTCTAATTATAGCCTAGACTCAGTGGACTGGAAGCTGAATGTTAAAATCTCATTTTTCTTATCTTCTTCATAATTGTTACTGTTGTTTAATGTTTTCTCTACTTTTTTGGAGAATGTTAGAGGGGTCTTATCAGAAAAATTTTTAGTTTCATCAGAAAATTTCACTCTCATAAAAAGAACAATGTAAAATTCTTACTTTTGTTAAATATAAAAAATGAAATTATATTCTAGGTGACTATGTTTTTCAGTTTAGAATAAGGAATTGCAACATAATCTTAACTTTAGATTAAAGCATTTGTGTTTCTATTGCAGGTTGCCACAGAAGCTATAGAAAATATTAGAACTGTTGCTAGTTTGACCAGAGAAAGAAAATTTGAGTTGATGTATGGAGAGCATTTGATTGTACCATACAGGTATAATAAAAATAACTAAGCTGAAAAAAAAGTCTTTCATCTATAGAATAAATTACAAACGTTTAATTGGACAAATACTGATTTTTTTTTTGCATGTGTATCATTTAATGGATAATTTAATTACCTCAGAAGGAATGTAAATATTATGCATATTTTAAATTGACAAATGCAACCACCAGGCAATGTACTTGTTCTTTGATTTAATTAATTTTCTGTGATAATATTAGTATCTTCTATTGTAATATCACTTGTTTCAGAAAAATGTTAGTTTTAAGTGAGCTTTGGAAGTTATCTAATCTATCCTTCCAGCTGAAGTGTTTTGGATATTTAATTAAAACCTTTTTAATGTAAATTGAATGTTGAATTAAGCCATTCTGAAAGCATGAATAGGATTGAAAACATTTGAATAATTACTTATTGTTTGGTGACTGAAGAAAAAAAAAAGGAATATAAATATGCCGGGGATAAATCAAAGTTAAGAAGTCTTAAAATGAAAAACTAAAAAAGACACTATCAATTAAAGCTTTACTTGTTCTATAATGAAAAGTTTCATTTTCAGACATCCATGAGAAAATTAAAGGATATGACACAGATGTGATGAGAGACAAGTAGGGGTGCTGCTAATACCTCCACCATAATATCTGAGTGGTCAGAGCACACTGCAGGACGTAAAAGACATGACTTGTTTGGTTTTTTTCTTCAGGCTGCTAGATTTTAAGCCCATATCTCACAAGCTGCAGAACAGTGTCTAACCTTTCTCAGGGTTGACATTGATAGGATTGCTCCAAGAGTTTCATCTTAATATTGTTCTGGTATAAATAAGAACTTATTGGTCTATGGGTTAATTTGTCTGGAAGAGGCAGTACATGTTTTTTTTCAGTTAATGTTTCAGTTCATGTTAAACCACTGATTCAACAAAGACTCTATTTTATAAAAATTGAGGTTAAGATTTCTGTTATACTAGATTACTGCACAAATTAGCCATGTAAAAGAGAAATCACACAGGCTCTTAATCAAAAAATGTCACACTGGTGAATGTGGCTCCAGTTTTGCTTGGTTTGGGTTTTTTTGAGAAGGAACCATACAGTTGTGATGTAGTAATAACATCAATAAAATTAAAATATTTTCTTTCTTTTTTTCTGATATCATTCATAGTTGCAGAAAATTTTCTCTGCCTTGCTTTTACTTATAGGCATAGTTTTATCATCCAAAATCTAATATCTCCATTATACTTGCAGGCCTAATGTTATTTAAGAGTAGAATTTTGACTGATTAGATTGAAAAAAAGAGATTCTTGAGTGTAAAATTTTGAACTGTTTAATATCTTTGTTATTTGGTTAGCATAAAATTGTCAATAAAGAAAAAATTACACAAAAGTTTGACTTTGGCTGAAGGTGAGCTAATGGTTCTGATCTTTTTTTCTCCTCTACATGACGCAGTTCTATGATTTTAAATATGTTATTTATGTCTTCAGAGTGGTAATCATGGACTGAACTGTAAAGCGTTTTAACAGTCAAGCTGTGAGACAATTATGATTATACATAGCAGCTAAGGTGTCACCTTTTTCTGCATCCGTATTGCAAGCTGTTCTTGGAAGTAAATAAAATTCTGGAAATAAAACTAACTTTCTCCTAGACACAGTCTAATAAAAAACAAGGGATTATGTTGGTGAAGGATGAGTATGCTTCCCATTCATAACAGTATCATCTGAAGTCAATTAATTGCTTTTTACAAACTAGAAGTGAAGCGTGACTGCATGTTTCTATGAAAATTGCATTCTTTCTTACAGAAATTCTGTGAAGAAGGCGCATATATTTGGATTTTGTTTTGCCCTTTCACAAGCAATGATGTTCTTTACCTATGCTGGCTGTTTCCGGTTTGGTGCCTATCTGGTGGTAAATGGGCAGATGGAGTTTAAAAGTGTGTTTTTGTAAGTACCTCTTTTCCAGTCTTTTTGCGGTTAGTCTAGACAATGGTCTTTGTTTACTGCTACACTTACCGTGAATCCATTGTGTAAGCTATGAGAAAACAGTCACATTCTTCTTCTACACTTATCCATTGGGTAAGCTAAGAGAAAACACATTCTTCTTCTATACTTAAATGCAATGAAAATGTATTACAAAGTGGACAGTCTAGGTGACTACAGTATCTGAGCTGCTCGCATAGGCATGATTTTGTATTTCTTTTTCTGTGTTTATTTTGGACTATTATGGTTTCCAGAGATTGAAACAGTATCCCACTTATATCACTTTGATTATTCTCTTAATGTTCATGTAGCTCTGAGGTCCTCTGTATATTCTACAAAAAACATAGCTATACCCGTTAATTGAAGCATAATAAGAATAGATCAATAGCATCTTTGTTATTTCTATGTCATAGTTAAATTTAAAATCTTCTCTAAAATACTTACTAAAAGTTTGGAGAACAGGATTCCATAAGGTAGATGCTGTTCACTGTAAGGAAAGGATAACTGAAGTATTTTAGATGACATTCTGATAAGAATGTTGTTCACTTAAAATAACTAATTTTCTGTGAAAAATGAAAGTATGAACCATGAATGTAAGAACAATGTGTAGAGTACTGTACATACCCATAGGCAGGTGAGGCTTTTTTTTTTCAATTTAAACATGTACTGTAAATAAAATATGATTCTAATTTGCGATATTCTTAGAAGGTGTATCCATTGCAATCTGAAATTATACAAGGAATAGTACAATTAGTTGTCTTTAATGGCATTTCGTAGGCTTTACTAAAATCAAAGGAATTATTTTGAAATTATAGCTTATCCTTATCTTTTTACTTTTATATTTTGTATTTACAAGCAGCTTATCCAAACATTCACTATACTATCAAAAATCCTAAGTCCCATTCTTTTAGATTATGTAGAAACTCAGAGGAAACATAATTTATAATTTAAGAGACAATAACTCAATTCACGCGGATGGAAATAAGCGTGAAAAGAATGAGATTCTACCAGTATGAGTGTCAGTGACTTCAATACCTAACAAAGGTCAATCATAATAATTTTTTGTTGGCAACTTGATTAAATAAAGCTAACACAGCTGGTTTTGACTGGAAGATGTTGGAAAGTGCCTGCATTCCATCTGCCAGCTGAATGTCTCTAGCCAGCTGGGTGAGTGAATTTCCAGCCGCTAGGATTTGGAAAGGATTGTCTAGCCTAAAACTGTGCAAGCCCTTCTAGGTTTCTCAAAATGCAAAATAAAACAGAGTAGTTTATACAGTTCTGAGGAGAAAAGATAAAAAATAATACAAATTACAGTATTTTATTTTATTATATAAGATTCTATGACACTATTTTGCCTTATAACAGGCTAACAGGTCTCACATGTTGATTACAGTTTCTCAGTGATGAGTAATCCTGTATTGTGTGGCCATAATCAATAGCTGAGGACAGCAGGTTTATAAGTCATTCTAATATAGCCTGTAAAGATACATCTACATTTACCATAAAACAATAATTTTCAACCTTTTTTTATTTATGTTGTGAATGTTTCAAATTTTTTTCCAGCAGAGCTGTGATAGCAAATTAAATCTTTAATGTCACCTTGGTACAGGCTGGATTTCTTGTTTTCATTGATGCCTTAAAAATGAGCTACTACCTTCTAGAAATTATTGAACCATAGGAAGGAAACTACAGCAATAGTAGAACGGGATTAATGATTTTACCATCCATTGATGCTTTCTTCCTAGCCCAGTTGAAATGCAATATAGTTAACTAGTATTAATAATTAAAGAAATCAGTGCTAATAAGTAACTAAAACATTGAATTTGGAATGGAGTCTTGTCTATCTCACTTCATTAAGAGACAATAAAAACAGATTTCTGGAGTCAAATGAGTAATTAAAGCAATAATAGTCGGTAGTTACTTTACTCTTTTTAAATTTAGTCCCCTTCTTTCTCCAAGCAGAAGAAAAAGTTGACTGAAGCTCCATTTCCAGTATCCTTTTCTTCACTGTCTATTTATTGATTGTTTTCTTTTCCTGATTTCTTTTACAGAGTGTTTTCAGCTGTTGTATTTGGTGCAATGGCATTAGGACAAAGCAGCTCTTTTGCTCCAGACTATGCCAAAGCCAAGATATCAGCAGCCCACTTGTTTCTGCTGTTTGAAAGTGTACCCTCAATAGATAGTTACAGCGAGGAAGGAGAGAAACCTGTAAGTAACCCATATGTAGTGGATGATACTATTTATTGATAAGATGAATATACTCTTCTCAATTCCTTCAAACTGATTTTTTCCTCTCCTTCTGGTTACCTCCTTCTTTCAATACATTTTTGACATTTTATTCAAGTATGACATGGACCAAGTTCTCTGCTGTGGGTCCAGCATTTGCCCACACTCTTTGAAGGCTATTTGTTTTGAAAATCTGGTTAAAGTACAATTTTTGTGGAATTCAACCAGCAGAATTACTAGTATTAACAAAGTAGTTCAGCACTATAATTAGATTTTATATCTTTACAAAGATTCAGACCACAGAGCTGAAGTCAGCATTCCAACAAATGCAGAACTCTTGATTGCAGTGGGGGGAAAAAAAGGCTTTTGCATTTCTATTTGAATCATCTGTCAAATTGTCTTAAAGATGTAACGCTAATACTATTTCAATTACAGGAAACATTTGTGGGAAACCTAACAATCAAAGATGTGTCATTTAACTACCCAAACCGACCAGAGGTCAAAATCCTCCAAGGTTTGAATCTAAAAGTAGAAAAGGGGCAAACTCTGGCCCTTGTTGGTAGCAGTGGCTGTGGAAAGAGCACTGTTGTCCAGCTGCTTGAGAGATTTTATGATCCACTTGGTGGGGAAATTGTAAGTATTTTTGTAAGAACATATCAACATATTAACAGAGGGTGTGATTATTTAGTTTTATTTTCAAATATTTTTAATGTTAAAGCAATGACTCATCAATATTCCTTATTTAAATACAATTAATTAAACAAGATCTGTGTGGAAAATATATGCCTGATCCAGAGGTTAATGATAGCTTTGAATTCAGAGCAAATTTCCTGAGGTTTTGTTAAGAACACCTTAAAAGACATTAAATATATGTATCTCCTTCTGTATAATGTAAGTAATAGAATTTCCCTTCCGTATTCTTTCCTAGAATAGTGAGCATTGACAAAAATAATTTTTTTCATAATTTTTTACTTGTCAGAAACATCTTTCAGAGTGTGCCGACTTACCCAAAGCCATAGATTGAAAATACTTGTTAAATACTTATTAAAATACATCTAGTGTTTCCCACACTACTTATTCAGCAAGTTTGCATATTATTTTCACATAATGGTATTGTTTACTGCCATTTTCTCTTTGATGTAAATGCACTCAGAGATTTGTTTGAAAAAGAACCCACACATCTTGGATTTGATGATATGAGAATATGAAGGATTTAAGAACTTGTCTATGCAGAGATACTCACAAAAAGTAAAGCAATACTTAAATAAGGTCTAGAAGATTTTTTGAGGTTGGAAATGTCCATACAGGTCCAACATAGCAAACTGACGTGTAGAAAGAAGCAAAAATATGTTTAACCAAGGGCAACTTGATCACCAGTTTTTTTCACCTTGTATCTGTAAATACCCAGCAATGGTTTACTGAAGGGAACAGCACACACCTCTGGCACAGAAACCACAAAAGCCGAGTTGCACTGTGAACTGAGAGGCGCGTGTGCCTAAATGCACTGTCAGAACAACAGCTGTTTACAACAGTGAGCACCCTGCTAGTCTGATAAAAAGAGAAACTATTCCTAAAAGTTGTGCTATCTGGAACAGTAGATCCAACACGCACAATAACTGAGTTCTCTAGCTTCATCAGTAGTTTTTCACATCAAATAAGGAATAGAAAGCAGATGTTAGCAGCCTGCAAATCCATTGGAATTCTAAGGAAAAGAGATGGCAAATACCTATGTAGCTGAAAGCAATTTCTCCTTTCTAGGTTTTTTTTTCCCCCTTTACGGCTGCAGATGTAGAAATGCTGCCACTGATTTCAGTGCATTTTGAGTCAGGTTCATTATGATATCTTTCCATTGAAAAATAATTATATTGGCTGCGAATTCTTTTCTAGCACAAACTGTGGAATTAGTAGATTAATCACATCCAGTAGCTGTGCTATGAAGGGGACAGTTCTTCAGTTATCCAGCCAACCATGTCACTGAACACAGAGCCTGAGAAATACACTGGTGATCCTAGTGGAGGTGTAATATCCCTCTTGATGTTCTGGTATATTTGTGTCCAAGTTAGTATGACTTGTATAATTATTATCTATCCAGAAAAAAAAAAAAATTCAGTTGTCATTTATCTAAAAGGCAAAGACAGCAACTCAGTAGCCAAATTCAGAAGAGGTGTGGTGGAGTTGTCAATAAAGAAAACTGGCTGCAAATGATCTAAGGGAGATCTGGAAGTAGGAAGAATCCAGAAGAAAATTTGCCCATTGTCAGGCACTACATCACAATTTAAATTTAAGATTGTCTTAGAAGTATGTGAATGAATGAACCCACTTATTCCTTTATTTTCATGGAATGCTACTGTTCCTTCAGTGGGAATATATATGCAAAGTAGCGGAAAGTTTTCAAAAAAAAAGAACTTGGTGTCCCTGGTGATAGGGAGACTGGATTAAAATGATCTCTAAGGTCCCTTCCAGCCTAGGCCATTCTGTGATTCTATGAACTTTACCTAAAATTCTTTGAAGTCACCTCAGCATATTCTATCTTTCACTGTCTTCAAAATCCTGATTGAATCTTGAAGTGAAGAGGAGGACTAAGGCAGCAGAAAGGGCTATGTTCTGTTTTATAAAATAGCCCTTAGAAAATTTTGGAACATAGACGAGAAGGAGGGAAAGGGATTATGTGGGCTTTAGATGTGGTATTTCTAAGGAAAGTGCTGCAATTGCACATCTTCTATGCATGAATTTACAGTAAGTCTCAAATACACCTATAGCCATGTGACTGAAATTTAAAATGGTTTCTCAGCTTTTTGATGGCAAAGATGCAAAGACACTAAATATCCAGTGGCTGAGAGCTCGGATTGGTATCGTCTCACAAGAGCCGATCCTGTTTGACTGCACCATTGCTGAAAACATCGCCTATGGAGATAACAGTCGGGAGGTGTCGCATGAGGAAATTGTTAATGCAGCAAAAGAGGCCAATATTCATTCCTTCATTGACTCTCTGCCAAATGTAAGTTATTCCTTTTCTCTCCTACTCAGAACTGGAGGTGACCTACTGTGGCAGGGAAAAACTGTGTCCACTTATGATTTCCTGGTGTATGATAGTTCCCTGGGATACAAACACATCTGAAACTGTTGTTTAAATCTTATCCTTTCTTAATTATGTTTACCATATTCATTTTTGCTCTGGAAGACTCCATTGTCAGTTGGAGAGCTGAACATTTAAAACACTAATGAAGAAAATCCACAATTAGAACTAATTGAGAGCTGAAAGTGTGGAATGGGGTTTTTCTAAGTGAGTTGAACATTTCATTTTAAGCTCCTACTTATCTCAAACACATGTAGAAGACTCTGCTAGATTGACAAATTTCTTACGCATTTCTTCTAGTTATACCTACTCAGAATTTAAATTTCTAATATTGCTATAGCTCAAAAAATTACTAAGAAAGTTTTTAAAATATATATCTAAATAACAAATAATAACATAAGAATTAATATCTTGGGTCAGATGAAACGTCTGCCATATATTAAATCTTTTCTCAGGCATCAACCAGCAAGACATATTCACAAATAAATATTTTAAAAAGGCAAAATATTTAATGATATTTCCCCTGAATTCTCATCTAACTTTGTGTAATTTGTAACTCAGGAGATGCATAATGTAGAAATCATGGTTTATTATTTAGTTCTGGATGGATTTTTCTTCAGTGGGCTTAACAAATACATTTCAAACCTATGTCAGCTAGTATCCAAAACTTCCTGAAAGTAAGCAGGTTGCCACTTTAGCTGTATGTCGTATCTACTCAGCTTAATTTCAGGCTACGAAGCTGTTTTTAGAAATTCTTGAAAAAATACAAAGGCCAAAGCCCAAGATTTTTGCTGATTGTATTTATCTCCTAATGACTTATCAAGATCCACTCTTTCTAAAACTTTGTAGAGCAATCTGGTATTATATAATGATGTCTCATAAAACCTCGGTGCTTTTTGCAATCAAATATGTAATACCTCAAAGACTACTGTAACTTACATTTAAGTTTGACTGTAGATATGACTGGTCTGCCTTAACTGATGTAACTAAATTAAAAGCATATCTGTCCAAAACTGTAGTATAGGTATAAAGTGTATAAATATCTGTGTCTATATGTAGGTACAGTATATAATTTGGCCCAAAACTGATACAACTTAAACACCATTGAGACTGTCCAGGGAAGTAGTGGAGTCACCATTCCTGGAGGTGTTCGAAAAACATGTAGACACGCCACTTCAGGATATAGTTTAGTGGTCATGGTGGTGTTGGTTAAACAGTTGGACTAAATGACCTTAGGAGTCTTTTCCAACCTTCATGATTCTATCACTATATTTTTCTTCAGGAAGAAGAAATAGGGGTTAGAATAACTGATTGGTTAGGATGCTAGTCCGGAGTGTTTAAGGTCAGGGTTTAATCCCCAGTATTGTTGTAAACTTTCACTGAGCCGTCTCCTGATTGATAATAACCTTGCCTTCCAAGCTTAGAGATGAACGTACGAAACACTTGGTGCTACAAAGAAGTCTCCTAGTGAAAGATCTGTAGATATGTGGCAGATAGCAATTCTGGTCATGTTTTCAGAGAGCTGTTGCTAAGGAATATGCAGTTTATGGTTGGCTGGTGTCAGCATCAATACATTTAAATATGCTTCAGAATTGACTTGCATTCACAAAGTGAACTTAATATTTTGTTTCTAGAAATACGATACCTGTGCAGGAGACAAGGGAGCTCAGCTTTCTGGTGGTCAGAAACAACGTATTGCTATTGCCCGAGCTCTTGTACGTAAGCCCCAAATCCTGCTACTGGATGAAGCTACATCTGCCTTAGACACAGAAAGCGAAAAGGTAACTTGATTGTGAGCCAGAAGTCCAGAATCTAAATCCATGTTTGTTTGCATTATAATTATTTTCACTCCTACAGATTAAAGCTGGAAGTAGTGTTTTATGTAAATTAAAAGACAAATATGAAGGTCTTACTCCTCCTTGCCAGAAGAACATATTTTTTTGCATCTGTATGGCAGTAGGTAGATGGAAGTAGCAATGAAGAATGCATTTCTTTGCCTGGAATTCTTCAGGCTTCAATTGGAAGTGTTATCAAATTTAATCAGAAGGCACAAACATCAGAAGGTAAAAAGATTGCGGATGCTGCCAGAGAACGTTTTTTCTGGGAAACTGCCAAATCTTGCTTTCATAATTTTTCTTGCTTCTCCAATCCTTGTAATATGTTCATGGCTAATATGCAAACTTCTAGTGAAAAACTGCTAGAACATTTATTTCCTTTTTTAAGCCCAAAGCTGCAAGCTTAGCATAACAGAAGTACAATCCAGCTATAGAAAATCAGTGTAGATTCTACAAAAATACTGAGCCTTGTTTGCCCATTCTGTTTGCTGCTGCTCCTGACTGCCAGCGCTCCTCAGGCCGCATTTATAGGTGTGTGGGTGGTTATGGTTGCCCTGGCAAGGCCCAGGGATCATCAGACACTCATCAGCATCTCCCACAAGATCTGCCAGCTCCTGGCTGGTGTCTCCACTGCCCAGGCAATTCCTGGCTTCAGCATTGCTGCTTCAGGCCAGACTGAGCCTGGAGCTTCTCTCCTCAGCCATTGACTGGTTCACTTCTTGGTTTGTTTGTTGCACAGGTTGTCCAGGAAGCTCTGGATAAAGCCAGGGAAGGTCGCACCTGCATCGTGATAGCTCACCGCCTCTCCACCATCCAAAACGCTGACAAGATTGCCGTGATCCAGAATGGCAAGGTCATAGAACAAGGGACCCATCAGCAGCTCCTGGCTCAAAAAGGCATCTACTATGCTCTGGTCAATGTTCAAAGTGGGTCAAGCAACATGTAAATTAAAGGCAGTACTTAGGCAGTACTTATCTTGGAATTGTCACTGTAATTATTTCAATACTGTTATTTTTGTTATTGTGATTATTTCAATATCAATAGTCAGTCCTGATAATAAGTAAATGTGTACCAGATTCTCACTACTAGTTTACATTATTCACACCACTCTATGTGGCCAAAGCAGAGGCCTACTGCCCTCATAAAGGTAGAAGCATGCTAAGTCATATATAAGTAGTATGAACTTGCTTTGATCTCTGTCAGAATCACAGTAATCAGATATGTTTCATAAACAACCTGTAAGCATTTTATTGTTCAGTAAAAATAGTTTTGTTACTGCCAGAAACAAACCTCAAGCCTTATCCTCACTGTGCCTATGTAAGGCAGTTGGTCCTGGCCTGTTAGGTTTGTTGTCAACTTGTTGTGAGAAATTGTGGGCTAGCTGGAGCTTGATGCCCAAAGTCAAGTGCTAAGAACTCTCTAAAGACTTCTGTAATTTATAAAAGGTGAAAAATCTTGAATTTGGACTTGGAGGGTGGTAAAGAAGTCATCCTTTTCAGCGTTAGTTTCCTTCCTGATGACTAAGATTCTTAAGGACTCTAACCATCGGTGCTAATTACATGGCATCAGCTCTGTGGTATTGTATATTCGTTGCTAATTTAGGATGACTGTTAAGGACTAACTCCTTCGAATATGTGGTAATAGCGATTAATAATTTTTAAGAACTAACCATCAGTAATGTATATTGTTAATTAACATCTATGGAGTAAAGTTTTGGTTTTAAGTTTAAAAATGGCCTGATTAATCAGTCTTCCACACCCCCATCATACCAGTTTCTGATTCCCTGAGACTTATACTCATGATCTCTCTCATCTACATGTAGATATTTAGACGCACACAGCCTAACAGATAGGCTGTTAGGCTAATCAGTGTATTAATGACAATCTCCAGAATATTGACTCATGCAGTCTCATTGTATTCCTCTTGAATCACTTATCTGTTTTCTTTTGTTCCTATCTTAGATGGAAAACTAATTTGACTAACAAATCTGTTTGTTTCCTGTTTATACATTACTTGATACAAGGTTATTGTCTAAGAGTAGGTCTACACCATAACATAAATAAGATATACTTGCAATTGCAAGAATGAAATAGATATTCTTTAATACTATAGTCCAAAGATTCAAGTGAGAATATTTTTTTACTAAATTCTAGATTTTAGTCTTTTATTTTTAAAACTAGGTTTCTTAATTTTTGATGATACCGTAAATACCTACATTGTCAATGCCTTAATATTGAGCAAATATTACACCTTCATAGAATCATAGAATGGCCTAAACTGGAAGGGACCTTAGAGATCATTTTAATCCAGCCTCCCTGCAGCCAGGGATGCCACCTGTAGACTAGATCAGGCAACACATGGGGACCGAACGTGAATCAGACCTGAGACCTTAGCGTTGTTAGCGCTACACTCAACTGAAAGGAGACAAATATGTTAACAATTTTTTAATACAGTAAACAATTTTTCAAAGATAAAATAGCATGGTCCTTACATCCCGTACAAACAGGAATAGTTTTATTTCCATATTAATTCTGATTTGGTTCTCAAATCACTTATGAAAATAGAGTAAGTGAATAATTTGATTAATTTGGAATGTAAGAAAAAAATTAAGTTCATGACATGTAAGATGTTAAAATGAAGCAGTGTTGAGGAAGAAGGAATGTGTATCTATCTGACACAGTAACTCCTAGCTCCCACCTATTTTTCAAGTGTCCTTAGTTAGATCAGCTTTGTTTGCAGCAACAATTCAGCAAAGGCAGAATTTAGGAAGGATTGAGCTACTCTAGGTGACTAGCATTATCTACTCTGTAGTTAACACAGGGGCTCTGACCGACTGTATCACATTTTTCCTTTCTAGATGCTCTTGGCCTTCTCCAATATGAATTTATTCTTGCTTTTACTTGTACATATATCATCTTGTCCAGCTTTTGTTTCGGAATAATCAAAGTGCCTGTTTGTTGTATAAACTCCTCAGTCATTCTTTGACATGCACATATTTCATAGTGATGTAAAATAATATGTCATCTCCATGTTGTTCAAAAAGCAAAGCAAAGAAATATAAGTGTACATTCCAAGAGATGGGTAGAAAGCAGCACTGTGGAATTATGACATGTTTCTCCATCTGCAAAGTGAGTTCGTCATAGAAATTTGTAATCTAAATTAAGTTTTCCCAGGATTATCCACTCTACAAAAGATTTATCTCTACGTACCTGTTCATTCTTCAATGTAAAAATGCATTATTGAAGATGAGTTATTTACATACCTGATAGATCAAAAACAACCCAGACATTACTCTTCATGCATGCTAGTGTTAAGGATTATGGTTCAGGATGATACTATTTAAAGGTTCAACTTCTTAACAGTACATTTGATGAATCATACAACAATCTGGTTTTGCAGATGTTTATAATTTCATTTTCTGCAATTTCTTGAGGAGCTTAAAACTTGGTTCTCATCTGAAGTCATATGAAATTTTTGCTTTGAAGACGTGATCTTTCCTTCTCTTATTCTTCCATTATCACCTATGAAACTTTAAAGACAGAAGAAAGGTATGTTATTTCCATCTAGAAATCTTTCTTTGACAAAGAATTTCTAAAAAGTCCTTCAAGATTTCTCTAGAAGTTCTGTGTCTCAACTTTCAAACCAGTTTCCTCCGAGTTCATGATAGAAGGTGTGGATTTTCTTCATTATCACCAATACTATCAATCAATGATTTTTCTTTCTGAAGCCATATCTTTAATTTGCCACATGATGGCCTCATTTGTTCAGACAATAGCTATGCATTCAGACAATAGCTATGCATTTTGTTTCAGAAATTTTCTTTTCTTCTTCATATATATCTTTTTCAACTCAGTACATGCAGTTTGGTATCTAATCTAAGGAGCAGCATTTTTACAAGCTTTTGATTACTAGCTGGCATCCCTAATTTTCATAAAGGAAAACTATTCTGAGAATATACCCTCATCCAAAAAAAAATTAATATAATAACACAGTTCAAATTATTCAGCTTCTAGCTGTATAGGAAATGTACATTACTTCTGGCAGTAAATAGTTTGGTGTTTAGACACAAAACCAGAACTCACATTTCTGAGAAGCCTCATGGAGCGCTAATGTAGCCTTCTCTGGCTTCTCCTGGGCTTCCAGCTTTAGGAGTTGATGTGTGTGCAGCTGCTCGTGCAGCTGCGCACTAGCCACAGCTGTGATTCTTGTACTATCACCTACAGACATCAGAACAGCAGCTGCAGTCCACCTGCCTGTATCCTTCTTGTCGTCAGAACATCTCTCTTACATGTTTTCCTTGGGATTGCATATCAGGTCCAAAAGCAAAACATCAGATTATTCATGCAAATAAAATGACCTTCTCTTTCAGATTGAGTCGGCAAAAGTTTTGGACTATTGTTTTCCTTCACAGCTTTTGTCTAAACACTCAAACACACTGCAAACTACAAGCTTCAGAATACCCGTATGTCAGTGAGAAACATTACACCTTGTTGAGGGAGAATCATTTGAACGTTTTCAAATGTTTTTGCCTACTGACTTCAGTTTCAGGAATGATAAAAACCTGATAAACTGGCCATTTACTTAGATTATAGCCTTTTTTCTGAAGTTACATATCTTAAGCACCTGAATATAATTTTTTATCCATTTAACATCAAACATAGTAAGTCACCAGATCTGTCATCTTAAAAAGTCCATTGAAGGAATTAATTTATTAAACAGATACTTAAACACTGTGATATTTTTTTCTCAAAATGTATGTTTTCTATGGTTATAGAGGTAACTGTGTTACATAATTTGGTAATAGAAATTTCCTTAGATTTACCTTATTATCTTATCCACATGTGATCTGGAAAATGCATTTTCTATCGCATAGTTGTTCTGTAGCTATAGCTATCCGAAAACTGACGTGAAGTTTTATTTCTAAGTTTCATCAAGAAGAAGGATCAAATGGGCTGATGGTCAGTTCCTCCCAGTACATCCCAAAATATCAGGTCTGTTACAATTCCTTAAATTATAATTGAATATGTATGTAGGATGTCCACATCAGAGAATGCCTGACTCAGAGTACTTCTCAGTAACACACTGCCAAATTTTAAGGCTGTGCTGGCAACTAAGCTTTGACAGATACTCTCTATGATCCCCCCACCGCCCTCCCAGGCAAGGATAACAGGGGAACCAGGGACGGAGACTTTGGTGTTGAAAAAAAACTTGAATCAATTTAATGAAAATAAAATCAGTTTAATGAAAATAAAAAGTTATACTAACAAGTAACCTGCCAAACTACATACAGATATATACAAGTATGTAAATATGCTCCAAGATACAAGAGAATATGTTAATAGAGGGCTCGTGCCTTACAGACGACAACAAGTTCCCAGGCAAGGAAAAAAAGGTCCCAGACTGGACTCAGCAGCAGCAGAAGGGAATGCCTGAGCACAGAGTCTCAAAGATAATCCAGAAAAAAAACGGAAAAGAAGCTGTGCCTCTGTCACACAAGGTGGGGGACAGGGGAAGACAACCTGTGCCAATAAACAGTGCTCTTCTGCAGTGTGGAAACACAAAGCATCAGCAGCACAGGGAGAGACAACAAACAGCCCATGACAACCCTTCCAGCACAACAAGCCCTAAAAGCCCCCAGGCTCTCCTTAGGGGCCCTAATATATGGAGCACCATGGGAAGGAACACTGTGATTTGCCCATTTGGGCCACCTGACCCATCCTCTCCTCCCCACAGCCACTGTTGCCCCTCCTCTGCCATGGTGATTGCCATGTGTGCCAGGCAGTTCCAGGAAAGTTTTATCTTGGTGCTTTCAAACCAGAACACACACCAATGAACTTCTCATCATGGGTGACCATGTATGTCCATGCACATCACTCTTCTCAGTTGTATCCAACAGCAGAACAGGAAATGATGGGTTATATTCCATCTGCAAGTGAGTAAACAGTTTATTGTTGTGAGGGTGGTTGAACATCGAAAAACGTTGCTTAGGGATGTCATGGATTCTACA